CTTTCTCTCTTCTTCTCCAAAGAGCTCAAAGCCCCTCCCATGGATGCCCCTCTCCCGTTCCCTACATCCTCACGCCACACACACAACCACGTCGACAACACACACACACAACCATGGCGACGTAACACACACACACACCCGCTACCCGTGTTTCTTCTTCTTCAAGATCGCGATGGTTTCTTCTTCTTCAAGTTCATGTCGCTTGTAGTTTCTTCTTCCTCGACACATGCTGCCCGCCATGACTGCGTCTACAGCTCTTCAAAATGATCAAAAGATCTCATCATTACTGTCCGCCATGGCTGCGACTCCAAGCTCTTCAAACGAGCACGAGATCCCGTCGTATTGTTGCCCGTTGTTTCTTCTTCTTCGCTCGTCGCTACTGCTGCTTCTCCTTCTTCATCCGGCGAGTTGCTCCAGCCATGGCTGCTGCCACGCTGCCATGGACAACCACCAAACGACACCTGAACAAGACGACCATCTAGCTTCGGACTGCTGCTGCGTTCTTCACTGTCCATTTGCTGCTGCCCGCGCTCCTTATCCTCCAAGATCACGTTGGATTCTTCTTCTCCAAGATCATGTCATTGTTGCTGTTGCGTTTCTTCATTGTTCGCACTGCTGCCATGCTTCCTTCTCCGTCCTTTTCCAAACAAACAAACTACTTTCCGTTCGAGTTCATCGTCGCTTCGATCCGGTTAGTAGATTTGAGTTTCATGTTGCCCGTATTTTTGTTTTGATATTCTCGGATCTAAAATCGATAAATATTCGATTCTTGTTTTGTTCGTGTCTATTGTTGAATTAATTTTCTAGTTTGTTCATATGTTTTGTTGGTTTAATTTTCAGATTTAAATGGAACTTTGATTAATTAATTTTTCAGTTTATTTCACGTGCTTTTATTTATTTTTGTAAAAAGAGATTCTTAGTTTGATTTTAATGTTGTTAGATTCGAATTTAAATTTAATTAATTGTTTTTCAGTTTATTTCATGTGTTTTATTTGTTTTTGTAAAAGAAATTGTTAGTTTAATTTTTAATGTTGTTATAATCAATTGAAATTTAATTACTTATTTTGGTTTGTTTCATGTGTTTTTATTTATTTTTGTAAAAGAAATTGTTAGTTTAATTTTAATATGGTTAGATTCAAGTTGAAATTCAATCAATTATTTCTTCTTCGGTTTATTTTATTCGTTTAAAAGAATTAAGTTGTAATATAGAAATATGTTAGTTTAATCGCTTGAATCCGTTCTTTGTTGTTTAATTTAGATTTAATTCGTGTTTATTGATTGTTTGAAGTTCGTTTTAATCTAGTGAATTAATGTGAGTTTATGTTTTGGTTTGTAATTTTTGATTTTGTTTGAATCATGAATCTTTGTTATAATATTGTTGGATTTAATTTGAAGATTAATTGATTAGTTGAGTTTTAGTGATTTGAATCTGTTCATTTATTTTGTTTAATTTGAATATATTTGTTTGTTAATATTGTTGAATATGCAAATATATGTGTTGTTAAAAANCTTCTTCTTCAAGATCGCGATGGTTTCTTCTTCTTCAAGTTCATGTCGCTTGTTGTTTCGTCTTCCTCGACACATGCTGCCCTCCATGACTGCATCTACAGCTCTTCAAAATGATCAAAAGATCTCATCATTGCTGTCCGCCATGGCTGCGACTCCAAGCTCTTCAAACGAGCATGAGATCCCGTCGTATTGTTGCCCGTTGTTTCTTCTTCTTCGCTCGTCACTACTGCTGCTTCTCCTTCTTCATCCGGCGAGTTGCTCCAGCCATGGCTGCTGCCACGCTGCCATGGACAACCACCAAACNCCGGGAATTAACCAATTACGAATTATTTAATTATGGTGGGGACCAGACATAATTATAAAAGCAAAAAGGAAAAGGCGCGTAATGATGTCTACTTTGCAAAAAGAGGGAACATGGGGGCCCACTTTGACTACTTTTCAAAAAGAGGGAACACGGNTCTGCCCGCGCTCCTTATCTTCCAAGATCACGTTGTATTCTTCTTCTCCAAGATCATGTCATTGTTGCTGTTGCGTTTCTTCATTGTTCGCGCTGCTGCCNGGGTGCACATAGTGGAAGGATTGGGTCTTGCTTGGATATATAAGAGACTCATTTGATACTTAATAGGAGGAGAATTTTTGGGGAGATAAAAAATTTCAGAACTAAAGAGGAGATAAGAACATACTTTTAATCTTGAAGAAGAGGATTTCTAAAATATCTGAATACTATTTTCCGTATATTCCTGAGTGTGATTTCTGCCTACTGTTTGCTTCCGGGATTTTCAATTGGTTTCTTGAGTTAACTATTGGTTCTTTGTTATTGCTTTATTGGGTGGTTGCTGGAATTTTTGTCCGGTTTTCAAGTCTACTACTAGGTTTTCTGACTGTTGATTGTTTGTTGTTGCCGCGTTGTTGCTACTGCTGCTGATCCTATTCTTCCTTTCTTTGTATTCAAATACCAGGTACACTACTCTGAATCATTTCAACATATGTATTGAAGATGAAATGAAATGACCGGAAGATTTAAGTTTTTTTTTAATTATAGAATATTCGCATTTTAGTTAAATATTCATTATGTGTCTCATGTTATGTAAATGGTAGAAGTATTTATTATGTGAAGTATTAAACTGCGGGACTAGTGGATGGGTGTCAGCATGAACACCATAAGTATTAGTTTCGGCTTTGTTAAATTTTTTAGCTTAAAATCGCATTCAAATCGTTAGTAATTATTCAATACGGAAAACCGACTTAATTTGAGGGAAGGTTAGTAAACTCTAGATTTGAATTTGCAAATTTTGAAATAAAAGCAATTTGAGTTTTTTTTTCTATCTTTAAATTTTGTTAATAACAAAGGAACGCAAATATTAGACAAACATAATAGGCCAATAATTTTGTAGAATCTGCAGGCTTACAAATATTTTCGTTTTTTTATTTTTTTTTATTTTTTATTATTATTTTTTTCGTCATTTATTCAGTTTTTTTTTTAAAAAAAAAAGAACTTAAAAAAAGAAATTTGTAAAAAAAAAAAATTAAGAAAAAAAACTGAAATGATGTTTAATGGGTGATTCAACGTTGCAAGGCTAAGAGCATTAATCCATTAGGTGCGAGTTTGAGCAAACTAATTTCAATAGTTTTTCTTATAACAATGTAAGCTTTAAGTTAGCTATAATCAGGATCTTTTGATTTTTAATTGTCGAACT